CTTTGTTTTGGAGATCGTACCACCTCTGGTGTCTTCTACCTTTCTTTGAAGAAACAAATTTTCGTATTCGAACCCGTCCATCTTCCCTAAACTTTAAGTTGACATTCCTCACGATAAAGTTAACTTCCTTTACATATCCATAATAAAAGTTAGTTGCTATCTCCACAGTGAAATTTGGATATGATCAGGACATTGTCCCCCAACTCTTGATAATATTTACATCTAAACTCTAACAAATCCTACAACGGTTCACCGGTTTCAATTCTCACTGCAATGTTTGGTTGTACTAATTTGTGGTACATCATCAATCATTACTTTACCCAATAATAATCCTTATACTGCAAAATCTTCTTAGCCTCCAAATCATCCTTTCAACAACAAAGTCTAATGACATCAATACTATTTTTGCCACAGACGGTGCCAACTATTGAGCATGATTTCTTTTAAGAGGAGATGACTCCACAAGTTCTTGACTCAAATATGCACTCTCTCTTGATTAGAAAGAACTATGGATTGCTTCTTTGAAAACAAACAATGTGAGAGGGGAGTACCTGCAAAAGACACTCTGACGCTCCAGTTAATGTTTGTGTAATGAACTCTGAAGGCTTCATGAAAAAATTTGTACCTTTGGCTAATCCTCCATTGGGTTTTTATAGCGCTTTGGGCCCCTAGGTTTAGCTCCACCTCATTGACTTTGTGCATCCCATCTTCCATTTCATAATCGTGGGAAGTCGTTGGTTAGGTTATGCCATCCCTACCTCGCACTTCTCTAGTCAGATGGAAGTTCAATTAACCCATATCTTCATTTACCTTTAATCGTGACATATGGGTTGGGTCATGCTATGTGGGTTTGATTTTTGATCCCCACACACTCTGAAGTTGAAACTCCTTCTCATCTCTTTTTTTGTTGTACTTTTTCTCGTCGAATTTGGTCTTCTTGTTTCAGTTGGTTTCAGGTGGGGATTCTTTTTTATGACTTTTTTTTTCTTTTCCCCTTCATCATGGTTTTGGCTCCTAACTTCAAATTTTATGGTGGGGGATGATTGGAGTTGGTTGCTATTCTATTTGGGCGACTCATAATGAGTGCGTTTTGACGAACTCTCTCGTTTGGTTTCCTCTATTGTTTATGCTATTAAGTCGCAGTTGATTGAGATTAATTCTCTTAGCACGAGAACTAAGTGCAACTCTGTGTATGATCTTTGTATTCTTCGTTCCATTGGTGTCCAAGGAAGTCGAGATAAGAGTCCTCATATTCTTGAAATGATTTGGCTTTCTCCCTAGTTTCTTGGATTAAGGTCACCACAGATGGTGATGCTTGTGGTAACCCTAGTTTTGCTAGTTTTGGATGTATTTTTCGGGATTATTTTGGCAATTGTTTAGGTTGTTTTTCTAATTCTCTTAGACTTGCTTTTTTTTTTGGAGGTGGAGTTGCATATAGTTATCGATGCTGTGGATTTAGCTTGGGAAAAAGGTTGGAATTACTTTTGGATTGAATGTGACTTTTCTCTAGATGTTCTTTTTCTTTCTTCTTCATATTGTCGGATACTGTGGCATTTGCACGTTCTTTGGTTTAACTATCTTGCTTTACTTTCCCGCATGCATGTTCATGTCACCCATATTTTCCGAGAAGGTAATCTGGTTGCTAATTGTCTGGCTAATTTCGGTGTGAACCATCCAGGGACTTTTTATTAGGGCAATTGTCCACATTCCGCGGCTTTATTATTATTTTTTTTCATAACCTTTCTTCTTGACCTAATTAAGGTTTTACTAGTTTGGTTATTTTCTTCTTGATTAGCGCTTACGCCTACTATATTTCTTTTCGGGGTTTTGGCTCTTCGACCCCCCCTCGGTGTATTATTTTGTCTCCTTTAAAAAAAAAAAAAATAATATAGGGAGGTGGGCGGGGGGCTTATGGAAGTGTACGTCCCTTCTCCTTCGAGATTGAGGGTGGATGCTTACATCCTGTGACCTTTACTAAGGAGCTAATCTCATCTAATCCTCTATTATTTAAAATAAAAATTTTAAATAATTTAAAACTTGTGAGTTAGACGATAAAACCAAATTACTTAATGGGTTTGGTGTTGTGTGATGAGTGTATTATGGTGTACCATGGCTATTTTTGGTAGTTAAATAGGGTGTAATTTGTTAATTTGCATTTTGATTTAAATATTATAGTGTACTTAGTTAATTTTAGCGTTCGTTTAATAACACCCTTACTTAATGCATATTTGCCATTATAACATGCAATTCCACCCCTTTCTCCCTTTCCCTTTCCAACCTTTTAATTTAGTGTTCGTTCTATGATAAAATACGATATGAAATCGAATATGTCCATTTACGAAAAACTAGCTAAACTTCTAATAACTCATAAGATGAGTTCGTTTGCCAAATATTCAAATCAACTTACTTGGCTCTGTAGCTTCTTCTTCAGTGGGTGTCTTCCTTGCCTTCCTTCACTAATGTCTTCCTTAGTTTTTTGGGAGATTCACTATCATACTCAATATATGAGCTCAAATTATATATAATAAAAAAATCTCACATGAAATGGACTTGAGAAACACACCCAAAGCCTATTGACAATATAACAAAGAGGCTTCGAACTTTATATAAATTACAAAACTGTCATCGATTTCTTAAAACAAGCCTAACCCCAAAACCTCATTAAAAAAATTCTCAAAACACTCAAGAGGGTATGAAAGTAATTTAATAGGGTCAACTGTCATTTTTTGGGTTTGTTTATAAAAATTTAATGGTATAGGGTTTATCTATATCATTAGTACTAAGAATTGGTATATAACTAAATATCTCTAGTTTCTTTGTTGCCCATGTAGCTTCTTCCTTTAACATTGATCTAACATGAGGTGGAATGAGCCACAATTCATTGCGAATTTCGTCAACAAAGTGGTTTGGGAATTGCATATGTAGCTTCTTCCTCTCACACTGATAAAGTGATAAAAAAAAGATGAAATCAAATAAATTGGTTGAAAAATTCCCTAACAGAGAGAAGAATCAGATGACATAGTGATTTGGGAAAACGTGAACAGTAACAGTTATGAACCCTAACCCAATCGCCCATAACATAGAGAAGAAACAGGTGTGAGAGAGAGAGAGAGAGAGAGAGAGAGAGAGAGAAGAAATATGGTGAGAGAGGGGAGGTGTCGAGTAGGATTACATATAGGAAGAGATCGGTTAACCAGTGTAACTGGTAATTATTTCCCTCCAATATTATTTTGGGAAATTTTCTTCTCTTTTTAAAAGCTTATGAGTTAGGACCAAGGTCTAAAATATCGATGGTATCAGAAATATCGGTAGTCCAAAAACACGGAAATTTCATTGGAAATATCGGGATATTATCGATATCGATAACAATTGAATAAAAACCACGGAAATTGTAAGAAAAACTTAGAAATTTTTATTGAAACTTTGGAGGATGTTTATTTAGTCAATTATCTATTAGTTTATAGCAAAAAATTGGAAGAAAATTATTTGCATGATGGGTTTAACTGATTTAAGTTGATTATATAGCGAGCTGACAAACATTGTGAATGTAGAAAATATGTAGTACTTAAAGGAAATTATTTGCATGATGGGTTTAATTGATTTAAGTTGATTATATAGCGAGCTGACAAACACTGTGAGTATATAAAATATGTAGTACTTAATGAAAGAAGATTAAACACACCATAATCATTTGTATATAATGATCTACTACAATATTTTACAATTTATACATTGCATGGTAAGATACATGAGTGACTATGAGGTCCAAAATTTTCAGTATCTTCATCATCTCTATCTGTAGAGTAAGTTTATTGTGAGTAGTCATCAAATGATAAATCCCCAAGATAGTTTTCTATGTAATTGTTAACATGTCACTCATCTGGATCCGAGATTGGTTGACGTTATTCATAAGCAAAATCATTTGAAGATTAGATCTCGAATTCTTTCCATCAGCCGCTCGATTCCATCCCAAAAGGAAAAGTCAAAGACTTACATTCTCATGTGAAAATCTAATTCTTGCAAAAACAGTTCAAATCAAAACAATATAAATATACATATTTTAGTATATTATCACAAAAGCATAAGCAACATGGTGGTTAAGGCGTTGGAGGAGTGAAATAGCAAGGGTTTGAATTCCCTTTGCATGTGTACTTTGTGTTTTTTTTTTTCCTTCTTTTTTTTTTCCTTTACATTGATATTTTCGATATTATAGCGATATTTTGACAAAATAAGTGTAAGCGAAATTATTGACATCGATATTTTTCGATATTATCGATATTTATACGATAAGTATATAGATAAGTTCCGAAATATCTGTGACCCCAAAAAATGATAATATCCTCGACATTTCGTTGATATTATTGATATTATTGATATTTTAGACTATGATTAGGAGCCATTGAATTCAAATGGATGGCCCATATTATGGTATTTAGATGAACTGTATTTGCGTTACTCAGTACTGAGGGTATTAGAGAAAAATCGTAAATATAACTCGTGAAAAAATTCAGGGACTATTGGTCCAAATTAGCCTTTTAACTTTTAAAGACCCAACATGAAATTTTTAGTTTACACAAGTAAACTAAAAATTGAGTTAATAAACTAAAATGTAACTCAATGACAAATTCAAGACTCATTACTCCAAATTAACCAAAATTAAGCCATCTTAATTTGTTTTCTGGTCTAAAAATTTACCCATCTTACACAAAAAAGTTAAAATATAAAAATAAAAGTAAAGAACAGCACAACTTTTACCCAAGACTATTAACAACATTCCTTTGAATCCTTGTTGATGGTTGATACTTGTCGAGTTGTCCTACCTGTAATCTAAAAGCTCAATGACGTGGCTCTCCACATGCACGTCCCGGACACCTGTAATGCCAACAGAGCAAGGACACATGCTTTACTTTTATTTTTTCATTCTCTCTCTCTCTCTTTTTGCTAAAACTCTTGCTTAAAGCCTCAAATCTCAGCTTAGCACACACACCGAAAGTCGCCTTCTCTTTACTAGAAACCCACAGATCTCTCTGCAACACAAAAATATGGAGACTTCAGCATCGCCTCCGCCACCAACCACCTCACCCACCAAACCAAAGTTTCGCATTATGTGCAGCTATGGCGGCCACATAGTCCCCAACCCAAGCTCCAAGTCCCTCTGCTACATTGGCGGTGACACTCGCATACTCTCAATCGACCCCACCACCGCCTCAACTCTCTCTTCTCTCACATCCCACCTCGCAGCCACTCTCTCTCTCCCCGCACCTCTGTTTCTCAAATACCAACTTCCCCGCCACGACCTCCTCTCCTTAGTCTCTCTCTCCACCGACGACGACCTTCTCATCTTCCTCGACGAGCTTCGCCGCCTCTCCAATTCCGCCTCTCGGATCAGATTGTTTGTGTTTTTCGACAAGACCCATCATCAGTGTAAGGCCATTCAGCACCCAAAGACTGAGTCTTGGTTCATTGATGCGCTGGAGAGTGCTAAGATTGTGATGCAGAAGGGGATGAGGAGTAATGGGTTGGTGGGTTTTGAGGCCGAGAGTCAGAGTCAGAGTGAGTGTTTGAGTGGTGGTGGTAGTAGGCAATTTTTGAGCTGTGGGGTTGGTGGTGGTGGGTCTGTGGCTGCAGAGTCCATTGTGCTGGAGACTAGCTCGTCTTTTGGGTCTACTTCATCTTCAGCTTCTTTGTCTAGTTTGCCCTCTGTTAGAGCTCGAGATGAGGATGTTATGGCTGGTACATTGCTGGAAAATAAGGTCAAAGTGGCTACTGGGGAGTCCATTGGACGGTACTTGCTCTGCGATACTCTCTCTGTTTCTTAATCAACTTTCCATTTTTTTTCGTTTTTCAGCTTCTTTTTTCATCCCTGCTAGAAACTGTTATGAGGCTCAGTTTTGAGGAGGATGTTTGACATTAAGGTTCTAGATATTAGAAATTGACTACCCTTTTCTAGATTTCCTAAATTGCATTTTCAGAGCAGTAATGTTAGATGTTTGAATTGGGTATTTGGTTTTGTATGTGGCAGTGAACATAGTGTTGGAGTTGGAAATGGCATTTCTCTTTCGCAGATTGACGCAGTGATTAATGTTGCTTCAATGGAGAACAGGGTTTCTTATAACCATGCTGAATCAGATATTAAACTTAGTGATCCTAATTTTTCTGGGATCCAGGTCCAGAAAACAGTTCAGGCGTCTGGATATTATCCAGTGACTCCACAACTGGATCAGCTTCAGCAACCGAAACTACAATTCGTTCAAGTAGGTACCCATTACATACCCCAGAATCCTGTTGGGATGTTGCCAGTTTCATCATACTACCCAATGTACCATCCGCAGCAGCTGCAACACTACTATCAGCCCAATCAGCCGTACCCGATATACATCTTGCCTGC